GGGGCTCACTGCTATACACAACAACATCCTTGATGTATATTTCTAAACCACTTCCACTAGAGACTGCATTTCATAAAAGAGGATAAGAACAGCCCTATTTGCTCATATGAAGTATCTATGATGGCCATAAATGGGCTTAAAACCACCTCTTTGCGCAACTGGCAGGTGCAATTTCACAACATACTTCAGCTGCTTAAGGTGCAGAGGTGCAGTTTCCAGCCTACTTAAGCTGGTGGAAAATGGTGCTGCCCTGTGGTGCCTGCACAAGCAATTGTGCGGCAGGGAGAGTGCCAAGCACTGGGCACAGAGGGGCTGGCCCAGCTGGGACAAAGGAAGACGGCAGCTCTGTGGCCTTTGGCGGCAGCACCATCAACAACTGCCTGTGCTGACTGCAACACCAGGCGCAGGGAACACTCCAGGGCAACCCTGGGGAACATCAGAGAAAGGAACCTCGATCACACGGAGAAATTGTTACACTCTGTTTGCAGTGTGTTTGTGCAGTACAATAAACTTAAGCAAGTTCTTTTATTTTTAATAGAATTAGCGTATTCTTGTTTGTTTGCTTGTATTTTGTTGCTGTTGCTTTTAACTGACTCCAATTCTTACACGCTATTAGTGAAAATACAGTTATATTACTTTTTTTTTGCTGTTTTCTACATAATCCACAATAAATGCAGWCCCCCCAGTATTCATTCAACTCTAAAAAGTAATGTCTTACATAACAATCATTTACATCCWTTATGGTTCACGTCAATTTATTTCTTAAATAAAATAAAATGTAAATGTAAATATAAAACTGCCAACATCAGATTTCTCCCTTAAAAAATATGTTCATTAGCTAATAGTGTGGCTTTGTGATGCTGTAACGTGGTTATACAGATATGAAGTGCTGGTGGATATAGCAGGAGTCAGTGCTACAGCCAGAATGGGAGGCCTGATGTGCAGTAATCTCTGCTCCAATAATGTAGTGTACAATTTGTGCTGGTTCCTGTTAAAAGCAAAACATGAGAGCTATTCTTAAAAGGCAGAGGGTCTAATTCCCTCTTTCTAATTCTTTTAACATAATTTATTTACAGGTGCATGTTTCTCTGCTGTGATTATTTTATTTAAAAGTAACATGACATCATAGGATTGCTATAGAAAGTCTTTATTTTGGAACAAAAGGGCATCATATGCTGAAAGAGCCAACAGATGAGAGATTTAGTTGAGATTTTTCTAGATGAAAAGATAATTGCACCCATGTCTTCTGTGTGGATGGTAGGTGCTTCTGACCTACTAATTATTTTATAAGAGGATCCTGTCTGTTGTGCTCTGCTCCCGTTATTTTGTTTGCTTGCATGTCCACTGCTAAAAAAGAAGCCATATGTGCCATGTTTCAAGAATTCTCATTGAATTACACTTACAGGGCAAGAAATAACAGAGAACACACTGTATTTCAGACTGCGGTTAAGTCATGAGACCCACATCGAGCCCTGCATGGTCAAAGTTTTCCTCAAAACTTGAGATACTTCTTTAGGAAAAGYTGTACTTTAAATTTAGGAATTTTACGTACTTCTAGTACTTAAGGAGTAAGGCAGAAGTTCTAAGAGTGCACTAATACAGAATACCAACATATTTTAGTACAATCCTACCTAAAATACCTAGATTCTTTCATGTACAGGGGTCAAAGTGACTTTTGTTTATCCGACAGCAGTCCATTTATGAACTTTTGTAATTTTATTATTATACCTTTTTGACACTGRTAAGTTGGATTTTTTAGTTTTTTGGGGGGGKKTTTGKTTTTTTTTGGTTTTTTTTCAGTCCAACTGATTATTGCGCTCTCCACTTCCATCTGTTAGCACTTGGCCCGTGCTCAAGCAGGATAACACTGCTAGCATTTTCAAGATCTTTCAGATGGCTAATTTTGGTRTCAATGCAGAAAGCTATCCCTGAAGTGCTACATCACAGCTTATCTCCAACAACGACCCATTATTTCTTACACTAAGTCTGGAAGTGACAGTGAGGTCACAAACTTGTCTTCATGGTAGATATTTCATAGCATGGCTTTTTTTTTTTTTTCCTGTTGATAGTCTAACAGTGTCATTTTTCAGCTATTTCAGCTATTCATAATTATGGAGAATATATGAAAACATAACAACATGTTAATATAAAAATAACATAACATAAAATAGCATAACATAAAAATGTTATGTTAATGCCAGATGCTCAGTGCTTCTGTAAATGACAATCTAAATGGCAGACTTTTAATAGCTACCTTTACAATTAACAGTTGTTCTGGAAGTCACCTGGATTTTACTGACCACTCTTGAAACAGTATCATGTATCCAACTAAGGCAGAAGGCCAGTGCAATTCATGCTCATTTTATGCAAAAAAGTTGGTTACAACCCAGGGTCACTATTTCTAATTAACTCAGTTCAACTCCTCAGAAGTCTGGTTCACTTCATTGTTTCTCCTGGAAACCATTTGGATTTGTCTGTTTGTTTTGCTTTCAATTGTAGTATAGTAACTAGTAAGTTAGTGTAGTTAGTAAGTTAGTGTAGTAAGTGTAGTATAGTATGCATCTCTGCTGTTGGAAATATTAATAGAAAAATAATTGAATTCCACTTGCACTGCTGTTGTTATTTTTCAATGTGTTTCTCTCATTAATTTTTCTCTATCCTTTGCTATCATCACCTCAAAGCATCTTCCCAAACAAGATACATTTTTTTTCCTGTTCAGTTAAATATTTCTATGCATAAAGTATCTAGTTCATACGGGAGATTCTTCTTTCAACTGTGCTTCCAAGACCTCAAGTATATTTGCCCAGTACTCTTTACCAGTGACTCCAATAAATATACTTTTTAAATGATTTGATAATAATACTGTGAATATAGAAATAATAGAGAAATAATCTGATTTATATAATTCAGTAGAGGTCCAAGTCTGACTGAGTCTCATGCAAGTGTATCAAGCAGGTGCATTCTTTTTCAAGCAGTCTCCAGAGAAACAAAGAATCGTTTTGGTCTTTTCTAACTTCCCTCTGAAGCATAATGACATGAAAATATAGTCTACAMCATATGCAAACATACATGGTTAGGGATGTTTTTGCTTTGTAATTTGCTTAGCAGAAAATCAGCCTTAGTTATTATACTAGTAAAATCTTTGATATTGTGAAATATAACTTTCTCAGAAAAAGTGAATACCTTACAAATATCTCCCTGCTATATGTGAGATTTTGTCAAAATATTATCATTTGTGAATATATGCGAATACATTCACAAATAATTCAATAATTCATTRTCTTGCTCCTCTGCAAGCACCACACTGCGATTCAGAACTGTGTGTGTTATGAACTCACCATCTATTCTGTAGAGGGAGAAGGGCCCTTGGGAGAGCTTTACAGTTTATTTTAATCTAAGAAAAGCTTTCCAAATGTTCTGCACCTCCAGGACTGCCTGCTAACGTATGGGAGGAGCTGTTCTCTTAGACTTCAAAATGCTCCAGAATGAGTCAACCATGCAGCTGGGAAAAACATATTAGGTATAATACAGAGTATAATGAGAACAGAGAGCAAAAAGGTTTGGGTAGCTACCATCTGCAGGGTATTTCAGCCTGATTCTGTTGTTTTATAGGGGAATGTGGCCTCTCTTGCTTGTTTTAGTATCTGACCTTTTCCCTTTCCTCTCCCCCTCTAATAATTTGCTGGGCAGCATGAGATGGCAGAAATTTTTACAGCTGCAAGGTCAGAGAATGATGCACCAACCTCGGGCCATTAGGTAAACTTTGTTTCTGGTGGGAAGATGTGATCCAGGCAATCCAGGCAGTAGTTTTTCTTCTTTTACCGTGTCTACAGGACTCGTCTGAAAGGTTAGGACTGCTCCAGACCTACTTAATTGTTGATGGAAATGTATCTAATTTAATAATTTAGACTTTCTAAGGTTCTCCCCATAGCATACAAGAAACAGAATCAATATCCATAATGTATGACCATTATATATTCATGTATTCATTTGGAGATGAGATAGTTGTGCATTAGGTACCTTAAGTAATACTTAAACATGCAACTGTATTTCCTAAGATATTGGTGGGGAAAAGTTAAGAAGAATGTATGCCTGAGGAGAAAAAAAGAATAAGTAAAAAGGGAGTAGTGAATCATGCTCTCGGTTTGATCAAAACACACATCCTTTGAGGTACAGTCCATAAACATGGTAATTTGTAAGCTACTAGGGGGGAAGATGTCGCACACCCCTTATTTTTCTGGATCTCTTTCTGATGAAGGGTAGCTYGGTGTCAGAGCAGGCAGGGGCTGGAAGCCGCCACCACCAGCGACATCTCCCGCGCTTTAACCTGCATTGAAACTTGTGCAGGCGGGAGGCCCGGCCGCGCCGCGCTGGGGGGCAGGGGCGCTTGCACCTCGCAAGGTTTCACGTTATTTATTTTTACTACTTGGGCAGCGCTGGGAGGAGGCCGAGCGAGAGCCATTTTAACGCGCCGCCCGGAGCGCGGCGTCTGCGCTGGCACGGCGCTCGGAGGGCCGGCGCGGGGCGGCTCTCCGCGAGCCACCGCGGAGCCTCTCGGCCGCCTCCTCCGCGCTCACAAAGTTGCTGGCGGCGGCCGGGCGGCTCCCGCTGCCGCCCCTCACCGCGGGCTCGGGGCAGGCGCCGCCGGAGCTGAGCCGAGCGGAGAAGAGCTGGGCTGAGCTGGGCTGGGCTGGGCTGAGCTGAGCTGAGCGCAGCAGAGCGGCCCCCGCGCCGGCCCCGCCTCCCGCCGCCGCTCGCGGCTCCGCTCCGGCCCTGCCCCCGGGCTGCGCTGCCGGCACCAGGGGCGGCGGTGGCGGCCGCCGCCGGGGACTCGGAGCGGAGCCCGGCGTGGAGCGGYGCACGCCGCTGGCCCGGCCCCTTTTCCCGCCCAGGGGGGCGTCTCTGCGCCTCGCCCGCGGCTCGGCGCACCGGGGCAGAGACGCCAAGTTGCGGCCAGCCCGAGCGAGAAGTGGCGGCAGCGCCGGAGGAGCCAGGGCGGCGCCGCCGCCCGCACAGGTCGGGCTGGATCGCGCCTGCCCGGCGAGCAGCGCCCGGTAAGACGGGACGCGCGGCGGCGGCGGAGCGGGAGGTGGGCGCTGCCGGCCGCCCCAGGGCAGGGAAACGGGCGCGGCTCGATCCGAAACTTGGGCAAGTTGAGCGGCCCCGCCGAGGCGGCGGCGCGGGCGGCGCTGGGCGCCCTCTGGTGGCGGCGCGAGGGCCGCGGTGGCCGCCGTAACGGCCGCTCTGTAACGGCCCCGCTGTAACGGCCCCGCTGTAACGGCCGCGCGGGCTCCGGCCGGGCTCCGCGGGCGGCTGGGGCAGACTCGAGCTTCCCCCCGCCTACATACTCCACGCGGAGTCGCGGCGGAGCTTTTGCATTCATTTTATTTTATTATTTCATATCATATTTGTATTTTTAGTCCTGCTGGGGAGTTTGAGGTGCTTCTGCTTCGGTTACTCGTGCTAGGGTGACAAGAAAACCTCTCTGAGACCTCACGGCCACCCAGGAAAAGGCAGAATAAAGCGGGCTGAGGTGGCCAACCCGTCCTTCTGCTCTGCCAACGATAAATGTTGTGGGACTTTCAAAACACGCCTCTATATTGTCTTATTTTCAGCATGTTGACTCTCCTTCTGCCTTAAAAGTTAACCGTTCTTTAACTTTATAAGTACTTATAAAGTGTGTTTTGACTTATGTGCACCTTCAGGGAACTTATGTTTGTGTTTCCACCGGAAGAAGCAACAYGCGGAGTGCGCAGAGAAATGAAAGGTCACTTTTAGCAAAAAAGTACTGGCTTTCTGCTGTCCTTCTGCATTTCTGCTTTGCTTCATAAGGGAGATGTAGGATTATCTGCATAGTGAAGGCAAAATTTGGGCACAGTTGTTGGAAGATAAGATGAGCRAAGACTTGAAAATATGTCAATAGTCTAGTAATTCAGACGCACCTTTCACAAGCAGAAGGGAGCGTTGATTAAAAGACCGCAGTTTCGTCAGAAGAAGCTAGTGGAGGATTTCTGTTGATTAATATTATTATTTTTTTTTTTCCTTCCACTCTCCTATGAGAAAAGAAGAAAAATCTGCCGGAAAGAATGTGTGTACAAACAGAGATAAAGGGAAGTCTCAAGAGAATAACTTAAGCTTTTGAATCTCTTTTCCAAGTGCTGTAAATTCCCTAATTCAACAGTTGCAAAGCATTTATTTGAGCAGATTCTATGATTTTTGTGATCAGTGCAGGTTTTTTTTTGAGTCCAAGAAGTGAAAGCTGACCTGAGTGAAGAATTGTAAAAGTAAATTTATGACTCTCAATTTCTATTTTCTTTTTTTTTTTTTTTTCTCTGGATTTTCCCACATAGGAATACAGTGTTTCAGTTTCTTACTCTGTATTGTCAACAGACTCCAATATCTTGGAGTTTTTACTTTCCTTCTAGTTCTAGTATTTATAGTTTAGTGTTGCTTCTAAGAAAAGTGTGAACAGCCGAGGTACTTGTGATTTCAACAGCCACACTATTTTCAGTGTCRTGCCTCAGACTGCCAGTCAGCTGAGTGTATCTGTTAGAATTTACTGTACAAGCTAAGACTTTTAAGAAAAAGAAAAAAAAAGCCTTATTTTATTTTTTTTTTAACTAACTGGATGAAGGTTTGATAACTGATTTTTTTGTGTTTTGTTAGGAAATGCTTGCCTGGGAAAAAGGAACTGCCTAATGGATCATGGCTCTGGTGTTTACAGGACATACCTTACTCCTAGCATTGATGACCTTTGCTGTCTTCACTCTTGAAGAATCRGTAAACAATTACTCTGACTGGGTGACTTTCATAGAAAATGTAGATCAGTTTGAGAAAGAGAAACTGCAAGATCTTAGTGCTGAGCAGAAGCTGAAAAAAACTGTTCATCATCCAAACTTGTATTTCGATGCTGAGGACGTCCAGGAATTGAGACAGAAGGCTCATACAAGCCATTTGCATCTATTTAGAGCTATCAGAAGTGCAGTGATAGTTATGCTATCCAACCCATTATACTACCTACCTCCACCCAAGCATGTTGATTTTGCTGCAAAGTGGAATGAGATTTATGGTAACAATCTGCCACCACTAGCATTTTATTGTTTGCTGTGCCCTGAAGATAAAGCTGCACTTGATTTTGTCCTAGAATATATGGATAGAATGGCTGGTTACAAAAACTGGTTGGTTGAGAATGCACCTGGAGATGAAGTGCCACTTGGTCACTCCCTAACAGGATTTGCCACTGCTTTTGACTTCTTGTATAATTCAYTGGAAAACGGGAGAAGACAAAAATACCTGGAGAAGATACGGTCCGTGAGCGAGGAGATGTATGAGTACTCAAAGGTTCGTGCGTGGGGAAAGCAACTTCTTCATAATCACCAAGCAACTAATATGCTCGCTCTGCTTACCGGGGCTTTAGTTACAGGTGTGGACAAGGAACCTCAGGCAAATATTTGGAAACATACTGTTGTTGATGTGATGGAGAAAACGATGTTTCTCCTCAATCATATTGTGGATGGATCTCTGGATGAGGGTGTAGCTTATGGCAGTTACACAGCCAAATCAGTGACCCAGTATGTTTTCCTGGCCCAGCGCCACTTTGGTATTAACAACTTGGAGAATAATTGGCTCAAAATGCACTTTTGGTTTTACTATGCCACCCTATTGCCAGGCTTCCAGAGGACTGTGGGCATAGCGGATTCTAATTACAACTGGTTTTACGGTCCCGAGAGCCAGCTGGTTTTCTTGGATAAGTTTGTCATGAGGAGTGGAGCCGGCAACTGGCTGGCCCAGCAGATCAGAAAGCACAGACCCAAGGAYGGGCCCATGGTGCCGTCCACGGCGCAGCGGTGGAGCACGCTGCAYACAGAGTTCATATGGTTTGCTGCGGAGCTGCCTCCCCAGCCGCCCGCTGGCTACGGCACCGCCAAGATGCATGTGTTTCCAAACTGGGGAGTCGTTACATACGGGGCTGGGCTGCCAAGCAGCCAGGCAAACACCTTTGTGTCTTTTAAGTCTGGGAAGCTCGGCGGCCGTGCCGTCTATGAYATTGTTCACTTTCAGCCGTATGCCTGGATTGATGGGTGGAGAAGTTTCAATCCAGGACATGAGCATCCGGATCAGAACTCATTTACTTTTGCTCCCAATGGTCAGGTGTTTGTGTCTGAGGCTCTTTATGGACCTAAGTTCAGCCACTTGAACAATGTGTTGGTGTTTGCTCCGTCTCCTACAAGCCAGTGCAACCAGCCTTGGGAAGGGCAGCTTGGTGAGTGTGCCCAGTGGCTGAAGTGGATTGGTGATGAGGTTGGTGACTCAACGGGAGAAATTATAACAGCCTCCCAGGTGGAGGATATGATGTTTGTGAGTGGTGAGGCAGTATCTGCTTACACATCAGTAATGAAACTGAAAAGTGTGTATCGCACTTTGCTGCTCTTAAATTCTCAGACGTTGCTAGTTGTGGATCATATCGAGAAGGAGGAAGACTCTTCTGTTAATGCAGTCAGTGCCTTTTTTCATAATCTTGACATTGACTTTAAATATGTACCCTATAAGTTTAAGAACAAGTACCATGGGGCTATGATGGATGTGTGGGATGCCCACTATAAAATGTTTTGGTTTGATCATCATGGGAGTAGTCCCGTCGCTAGGATACAGGAGGCAGAGCAGGCTGCTGAATTCAAAAAGCGATGGACTCAGTTTGTAAATGTTACCTTTCCCATGAAAACCACACTTACAAGGATTGTTTACCTTTTCTATGGCCCATATGTCAATGTTTCTAACTGCAGATTCACTGACAGTGCAAAATCTGGATTTCAGATTTCACTCAATGTCAACAACACTGAAAATACTGTCTCTGTTGTGACTGACTATCAGGATTTAAAGACAAGATTCAATTACTTGGGATTTGGTGGTTTTGCCAAAGTAGTTCGTGAAAACAAAGTGACCAAGTTTGGTTTAGGTACTCAATCTGTGGAAAAACAGATACAACATAGTAGGATGGTTTTCCCATTTGGATTCAAAGTGAACATAATTGCAGGGGTAATTTTGGGTGTTAGCTTGGTCATACTGGCTTTCCAGTGGCGGTTTTACATCTCCTTCAGTAAAATGTTACGTTGGATCTTAATATTGGTTATTGCTCTGTGGCTTATTGAGCTGATAGATGTGTGGAGCACTTGTACGCAGCCCATCTGTGCAAAGTGGAGCAGTGGTATGACAAGGCTAGAGCATGATAAAGGCAATAAAGACAAGCAATTAGAAGGAAATCCCACTGTTTTGCCAGATGTTATCATTACTTCACTTCCTGGTTCTGGTGCAGAAATTTTAAAACAGCTGTTTTTCAATAGCAGTGACTTCTTATACATCAGGATACCTACACCCTATCTAGAAGTTCCTGAGACTGAATTTGAAATTAATTCCTTTGTAGATCCATGTGAATGGAAGGCTTCTGATGTCCAGAATGGTCATTTTCGACTTCTCCATGGGTGGTTCCAGTCTCTAACTCGAGACACAAAGTTACATTTACAAAACATTAATTTATATGAATCCAGCAGAAGTAAAATTCCTCAGCATTCTGCCATAAGCAGAGACAAAAAGAAAAGATCCAAAAGGAGGGAATCACTGTCAGAACAAAGAAGCAGGGCAAGAACAAGTCAAGATAAAGATGCTGAATATATTAGGGAACTGAGGAGGCACCTTGTCTATTATCCCAGTGCACGGCCTGTTCTCAGTTTAAGTAGTGGGAGCTGGACATTAAAGCTTCCCTTCTTTCAGGAAATCCTAGGACCTTCAATGAGAGCTTTATATGTAGTAAGGGACCCACGGGCATGGATTTATTCAATGTTGTACAAAAACAAGCCAAGCCTTTACTCCTTGAAAAACGTTCCACAGCGCTTAGCTGCAATGTTTAAATGGCAAAACGGTAAAGGAAAATGTAGTTTAAATGAGSGCTATGCCTTTGAATATGAGTCACTAAGAGAAGAACTTTCAAATTCTAACTCAAATGCTGTTTCTGTGTTGTCCTATTTATGGCTTGCAAACACAGCAGCAGCACTGAGAATAAATGGGGACCTGCTGCCAACAAACTATCAGCTGCTCAAGTTTGAAGATATTGTGAACTTTCCTCAGAAGACAGCTGAAGCAATTTTTGCCTTTCTTGGTGTTCCTCTTTCTCCTGCTAGCTTAAACCAAATATTATTTGCCACMTCCACCAGTCTTTTCTATCTTCCTTATGAAGGGGAAATTTCACCAAGGAGCATTCATGCCTGGAAGCAAAACATGCCCAGTAAAGAGATTAGACTGATTGAAGAAATTTGTTGTTCTCTAATGGACCATTTAGGATACCCAAAGTTTATAGATTAAATGCTGCTGGTCAGCCAGAATTTGCACTAATGATCTCTCACTCCCAATTTGTGGATAAATATTAGAGAAGCTTGTTTATTCTTGTAAAATGTGTACAGTCTGCTACTTCCAGAGAGGTTATTTTATGAAAAGGTTGGATGTTCTTGAGTTTTTTTTTTTTTTTAAAGAAAACTGTATCTACTTTTGCTGCCTTTCAAATAAAGCTGTGTGAACCTTTACAGAACTACCAGCTGGGGAGTATATAGCTCAGGGGATTAGTAATAGGATACAGAGCTTTTCACCTTCAGCTTGCCAGTTAGACTCTAGCCCAGGTGGTTAGTTCCCAAAAGTACTTGTCAACTGATGATTGTGTGGTGGCTTATGTGAAATGAAACTAGTGCCATTGGCTGCGTTTCCCAGTGGTGGTAATTGGACTCTTTGGGCAGAGCTGATGATGCATTCTGTCAGCCTCTCACTACAGCAGTGAATGAGTCAATGAAATGAACCGTAAGCCCAGTTTTAAAGCTGTGCTGTAGCTTCAGTTCTCCTTTCAGCATGAGAAAGCAGCAGCATTTGAGTGACTCTAGTTCCTTACTGACAGTCTCAGGATGACTGGAGTGGACATGGATATCAAGTAGTGTTATGTGGTACGGTTCCTTCGGTTCAGATCTGCCACTTCTGTTGGGTTTTGTGCAATGACTAAAGAGAAGATTTCATTCTCCAGGCCTGACAAAGAGGTACCTTTAATGACTTGAAGTAAGCTGGAGAAAAATGGAATGGGACATAATCCAGGAAATCACAACATCTTCCGAACTAGTAATTAAATATGGAGAGGATTTTGTGTAATTTTGACCTGCATAATTATGTCATCTTAATTTAATTTTCAAGGTTGTTTACATGTCTGCTTCTAGTGCAGCTTTATTCTGTACATCCTAAGAGGTTCTGCAAGGATTTTATCATTTTTCCTGTTTTTTCCTGATGGTTCTTTGCAGAACTTCACCGAGGCCAGTGCTAATATTTAATGTTATTGTGAGTGGTGTATTGCTGATGTGTTCATAAAATGACAATCTACGATTTAAAACACCTTAAAGAAATTTCTAGATCTGTGTTGCTGAAGGATGTTTTGCTTCTCTGTGCAGTGGATTTCTTCTGGGCAACCATTGCTAACCTCAGGTCTTCTCTCAGAGAGATGGGAAAACTGAAATTCCTTCTTCACCCCCTGTCTCCTATCTAAATGACATTTCYTTGACATAAATTTTTCCAAAGTCTGATGATTTTAGTATGATTGGTATTTCTTTAACTTGGTGCTCTAATATAATATTGGTTTGGAAACAGAATTGATGGGATAGATATGTATGTCAGTCACAGCTCATTTTCTTTTTGAATCACACTCGTGTCTGCCCATTAAGAAAAGTTTCCTACTTCAGCTTGCTCAGCATTTTTTGAAAATACATGCATACTGTAAATGTCTGCAGATGTGTAAATCAAAATCACAAAGAAACATGTTTCCTTTACTATCTGTTTTTTATTACAAATGGAATTGTACAGAAATATGCTTCAGTTGGTTTGTGGGAGCTGGGATCAGAGTTCTGGTTATGTTGAAATGTGYGTGTAGAGTAATTGTTGTTTATTTGGATGATGGGCAATGTCAAAAATGTAGTGAGTTTCTTCCTGCTAATTGCAGTTATCCTAGATGGTTTTTAATAYAATGAACTTCTTGACTTTCCTTCCAACTTTTTTATGTCCCAACCTCACCCCATTTTCTTSCTCCTCCCATACATGCATTTCACAACCTTTGCAGCATGTTGTTACCTCTCATTATGACCTGGATGAAAGCAGCTCTTTCTCAGCCATTCATTATTATGTCAAAATTGGCCTCTAGCAGGATAAAACTATTGATATATTGAAGCCTCACTAGTTATAACTTGGCTGTCATTTTACTTTGACTGTAATAGGGACTGACAGCATTTTTTCCCCTGTCTTCATTCCCAGGTCTCACCTTTGGTAGGTGGAATATCACATCAAAGGAAATATTAAAGCCTGTTAACATTTACTGACATGTTAGTGAAACTTTGGTTTCTTTCAAGTTGGCTTCTCTGAAGCCATTTTTGGTTGTATGTAAAAGTTACTGTATTGATGCCTGTACGGTTTTATGTGCTTGTCGGAATAAGTCTCATCATTTGCTGAGATTCCAGGGTTAATGCTATATAATTAGAATAAATAAAAAGCTTTCCCCCTTCAGATGTTTTAGGGCAACTTTAGGTAAGAATAAAAGATAACTGAAATTTTACATGTAGGAGGAGAACTTAAAATCCCTTCTTGACTGCTATATGAAATGTAATGGAAGATAAACCATGTTGGTTGTTTCTGAGAAGTTAGAGTGGACTTTGCATGATCAAAGGATTCATAATCTGTTGTTCTTTGCATTGTGTGTCCCTTATACAGATGGGATAAGCTAGTAGAGAACTCTGTTCTTTATATTTGGATTGTGTGAGGAAAAGTGACGCTAGGTGTACATAGAAGGAGAAGTAATGTCTTTAAAAACAACAGGGCAGAACTACCTAAGGTCTGACAAGTCCCCCAAAAATTTTTAATCAAATAGCTGTTTGCTACATTTTGGATGGTAAGATACATGACCCCTTGACCAAAGTGAGTRCTAGAGAGAATGCATCCTGGCTGTGGAGTTGATGGACTTGGTACTGAAATTGTGGTCCTGTAACTGAATGAAAACAGAAAGCTGAAGAAACATGCATAGGGTTGAGGAGACTGGGCACTAACAGATATAGATCTCTAGGACTTTGTAGAATAATTTTTAGCTGCAAGATACTTCATTTGTGAATAAAATTGACAGTTGTGAAATTGAGAAGTAGGAATGACCTGGCAGTAAGAATAACAAAAAAAACCTGCCTTTCTCTATTAAAAGATAGATTCCCATTTTATCAGAGGAAGAAGAGTCACTAAGCAGGCACATACATTAACCTCCCTTTTCCCTGTAAAGATGCTTCAGACTTTCAGTAGAACTTGAGAATTAAGCTGGATGTTTTGAAAAGCATGTTTGTTTAGATATGCCATATTGAAGAGTCTTCTAGCGATTTCAGTAAGTTGAAACRTACTTCCAATTTCTCCCTGTTTAAAATGTTCTTTTTTGTGTGTATGTGCTGTGTTATAATCTAAACAGCCACGTTGCAAGACATATTTTAAAAATTAGGGCTCTCCTTAAGTATTTTTCTCAGTAGCGTATGTAGAAGCCTAAGAAAAATTAACACCAGGAAAACATTTCTATTGTTTATTTACTCTGTAACTAAGTGATACTGGCCTTGAGGAGAGGCACGTGGCTCTTGGCACTCAAAGTTCTGTGTAATGGCCTGAGTCTGCATCTCTGAGCATACCTAACTGCCTCTGTGCTTCCCAGCGTGGATTTTTCAAGAGTAGAGTCTGGGGAGATCAGCCTCCGTGTCGGTCCCTTTCTTACAATTAGCATGCAGATGCCTCAGCTTTCTGCTAGGTTAATACCTGGACAGTTAATTTGCAGGATCCAGGGTTGAATTTATAGATAAGATCTTTAGTTATATCTAACTTATAAAGCATTTGACACTCTTAATACTGTTCTCGTACTGTTGGAGTGCAGGGTAAACAAGCCAAAGAATGAGTAGTAACTGGTTTTCAAAGTTACTGTCTTGGATCAAATTCTTTTTCTTAGCTGCAAAAGAGGTTTTACTTGCTATTGAAGCTTCGAGATCTACCAAGCCAGGAGAGCCCTGACCATCATAGCTGATCTTCAGCTATTTCTATTACTAATCTTGAGGTTACTGTTTCTTCGCTCAACATGTTCATCCTTAATCTGGGATATAATTGTGTATTTGCTTAAAATGTTTGAAGTGTGCAATTTAATGGCAAGGATAAATGTAGAATACATCTGTATATCTAAGTTTAACCCCCCCCAAAAAAAAAAGTCAGCCCTCTTGTAAGCATCCATTTGATGGGTTCCATATATTAGAATATTTTATTGTGATATTTATTTGAGAAAACATAAAAATAATTTATCAAATTACTTTAATTACATGTACAGCTGTTCTGTCTGAACAGATCAGACCATCATAAGCATTCCATCCTTTCTCTGAACTTCCTTTTACTTTTGATGGGGACTAAAATACGCTTAAGATTTATCATGAATGAGCTGTTTTTCTGGGTTAGCACTCTGTCTGGAGACTCTCATAGTGTCAAATTCCATTTCATTAATTTGTATGTGGAATATCATGTACTGCATTCAGAACTGAGCGTAAGTAAAGTGCTGTCATGCTCACCTTAATGAATGTTGTACAACTGACTTCTGCAGGGACAAAATGCCATCCCATATGTTTCTTTCACAAAGGAACTATGCAAAATTTGTGGACTAAATAAATGTCTCTAAAACATTCTTTATTAATCATTCTGAGACAAGGTTAACTGGTTTTAAAAATGTGTGATTTATCTGGGGCTTTTTGTCCCTCTTCTGTAAATAAATATTACCTTCTCCAGAATTATCATCGACCTATCCTGAATACTTCTGAAAAGCAGAAATTACAGGAAGTGAATGCTTCAAATGATCATTCARGATTACTGCTCTTGTTATCTGGTGAATTATGAGACAAGGAAATGCATTTCAATAGTGTGAAAAATAGAAATTATTCTGTAACGGCAATCAAAGCTACCTGTAGAGTGATACATTTTTAAATTCATGAAATGATATGTAGAAACAAAGAAATGCTTTAAATACTGTAGGAAGAAGAGTTTCAAATGTCAGGACTTTTATTTTCATTAGTTAGTGGAAATGTGCTGATACATTATCTGCAGTAGTCTCATAAAAGATGTGAATGGGTAATCTTGTGCTGTCTCAGAAATATTTAATAATGGGAAAGTGCTATTTCCCATCATTGAGATGGTTCTGTACTAAATTAAACTATACATCTTTGAAGCCAACAGTATGCTGAGAGTTATAGGTGATGATGAAGGAAACAAAGACAGTCAGRTTTCATCCACACTTGTCTAAGCATAGAACAATTTTAGAGTGGAAAGGTTTTTTACTTACACTGGTATAACCTCAACATTTAGTTTATTGCCTTTTCTGAGAAGGATCCTGCAGTGTGTAAGAACATGACCTAAATTCATCTAATCTCACATTAGGTAATTTAACATCTAATCTAGGTGCCTTGTCACTGCAGAATCGATGGAAAGAAAATGTCTTCAGAGGTAAATCAGACATAACATCTCTTTGTAAATCCTCAAACCCTGGGTGATTAAGCTCTTCCTTCAGATGCCCGCCAACAGGCCTAAAATGAAGTGGGGTGAATTTGGATTTAGTTGTATATGGTTTTGTGTCTTAAGTGGATTTCTGTGGCTGAGCAGCTCTAGCACATACACTGTCCTGGAAAATTTTATGAAATTACATCCATAAAATAAAACTATTGTTAATAAAATGGTATTTTTGTGTTAAGATTTCTTTTTTTTYCCCTTTTTTCCTCCATTGCTTCACCATTTGGGATAACACCAAACTCTGTGATTTGCAGACAGTGTGCTTATTTAAATTTGAAAGATACTGTTATCTTTGTTTTTGAATATGGAACAGTTGTTACCTTTCAGGGAGTATTGGTGGCAGGTGTCCTCAAATGCTCAGTAAATATGTTTCATGTTAAGTAAAAGATCACAAAATAGCTGCATTCCTACAAAAGGGTGATTGCCTAGTCAACAGGGGAAAAATGGTCTGTGGTACAAATCAAAACTTTAAATCTTTTGGCTGCTTTGCAGTACCTGTGAATCCATCAGAACAGAAAAATTAAAGCAGTAGTGGGTAGCACTTTACCCTTTTTTAGGTAATTAAATTTTTTTTAATCTCCAAATTACTTTATTCTTTAAACTATCTCTGGTTTATCTTTGCTCTCATCTGAACTAATAAATCATCATGCCCAGGGAAGTTCTCTGGAACTGGACAGCTGGTCCAGTGCGTACTTCGGATAACCTTTGGCTTTGAACAGGGTGCAAAATGCTGTTTAAAATGGAGCCAGAGCTGCGGCTGCTCCAGACCTTGTGGCCTGTGGGTCGGTGCAGGGGCGCTGGTGCTGGATCAAGAAGTCCGGGCAGTGCAGAGGGCCAGAGCCGACCGCGGATGGGTCTGAGCTGCAGTCGGGGTGCGTCTTGAGAGACAAGAACAAGAGTAAGACCTGATGGTGCCTGCTTATGAACGCCTGCACTTTCCAAGGGTCTTTGGATATTTTCTGCAGAGTTCTGCACATTGTTTAAACTTTCATGAGATTATATTTTCTGCTAAAAGAGCTTTAATGGTTTTATGTTGTGATAACTCTGTGCCTTTCCTGTTATCCACTACAGAATACGAGATCTTATTTTCTGACTGGTGAGTGGGATGTGCTTACACCACGTAGCTCATCCTAGGTGTTGTCACAAAACTCCTACAAGTTTTTTTGTTTGTTTTTCATTTTTTCTCAACTTTTTTTTTTTGGGGGGGGGTGGGGACGCATGGAAGAGTATATGGAAAATGCCTATCACATTAAACATCTAGACATGATGTAAACAAATATCTCTGTTTATTATAATTTCTTTGAGAATATTTGTCTTGAATTATTTCTTGTAAACTCCTTCAAAGTGAATGCATCTATCATAGAGATCAAAGAAGAAACTAATACCAGCAACATGATAAATGCATGTAGTCAAAGATTACAAATGCACATTTGTTTCCGAGAAAGCTATTAATATTTTCACTCTTAATTGCTTTTTCAGAGAGGAGCTGATKGTATTTTCTCTGTTTTTCAGACCTGCAAGCATTTCTATCCTACAACTTGCCTAGAAATAGTGGGTTTTTTTTGTATGTTTTCTGAATCTTACTTTGAAATATTCATTCTGACACATTTTCTTGAAGCCTGTGTTGAATTTCAGGATGTTCCAGTCTATTCTTTTCATGCCTCACATCCTGCAGATATTGCTTGATTTCAGGAAACCTGGTGAGGACTGTGGTAGGTACACAGAGATGAATTGAAAAATAGGAGAAAAGAAAAGTTTTGTTGTTGAATAGGCTTGATTGTGTATTGGAATATTTAGGTCTGAATGAGCCTCCATATTATCTATTATGAATGCCTGAGTAAAGCACTTTATTATTCTCTTTTGCTAATCAGCTAAACATTGTCTGTTCAATGTTTCAGATTACCTTAAGAGGTAAAATAAGTTAAAGGGAATTTTGTTTATATGTATTTTTATTTTATTTTATTTTTCCATTCCTTTGTACTTTCGAGCTGGGGTTAATCTGCAACTAGATACCTGTTGCCTGGCATAAATCTGTAACAATATTGTTGGCACCAAAGAATGTATTTTTCAAAGAGAGGTGCAGTTTTACCTGGTGGATATATATTCAATATTGATGATTTCTCCACCACCAGCTTCCTGTTTTGACACGTTTGAAGGAAAACCTGACATCAGTAATAGAGAGTTGTTTAATGTTAAAGAATAGACTTGCACTGTTGCTGAGCAAAATGGAGGCAGGCAATGTGGAAAAAAAATCAAGAACATGATTAGATGATCAGAATACTCTTGATTAGTCTTAATTAYGCCAGGCTTATAACAAGATCTTTAAAAGTACCATTATTCTTCAGCCTACTGCCCTTCATGGCCCTCTTTAATTGCAGACTAAGTTAAACTTAATTTCCTTCCTTTTGCTGAAAGATAAGAAGGTGCTTCCATGAAGGTACCATGAGTTTGCTCATGTACTAGGATTTTTTAACCTGCTGTAGCTTGAATACATGTCCCTGCCTCTAAACTGCCCCAAGGTACATTTGCAGATCTCAGCTAATGAATGATCTTGTTGACTTCAGAATTGTTCAGAATATRGACATTTACCTATCTGTATTCTATGTTGCTCTGATAATAACCAGGTGTTAAGTACCTTTAATACATGAAGTAAATAAGATGATTAAGAAAAAAAAGAGGCAGCTCAGGCAATAAAGCATGAGCTTTGTTCTTTGTTCACGTATGGTTTAAAGTGCTTGCAAGAAATCTGCTTCATCTGCACGTAGCTYGGTTGGCTCTGTGTAGCAACAGACTGGCAGCCGCCTTTGCACAGGCTCTACCGAGGAGCCAGGGCTTAAAGGTACAGCCATGGACAGCGAACATCTACCCCGCTTTGGTGCCTCCTACAGGCACCGAGGTATGTATTTCTCCTGGATCTAAACGCACCAGGAATACCATTATTCCAGTCCCCCTAAAAGCTGCAAACAAACAAACAAACAAACAAAAACAAACAAATAAGCAAACAAGCCTAATATCCATAGGCTACTGTAGTTAAAATTATGTATCAACTGATACATAATCAATATTTATGAATCAAACATAATTATGAGTCAATTTAGCAGAGCTACCCTTATTTCTATCCCAGGCACACAGTTCTATAGAGTTATATATAGCATTAAATTATTACTGTTCATGCTGTATTAATCTATCGTGCAAAACAGATGCAAGTATCATGAATTAACTTTTGTTGGACTTTTGTTGGACTTAAATCCATAAATAGCTTTCAATTGAAAGCGCACGTACAAACCTTGTGAAAAGTCTTATCTATATCTAGACACCTTGCAATTACTGCTGTAATTGTGGACTTTATATCATGTTAATGATYAAGATTTAGTAACTTGGTTTCATTTTTTGTTATCATTATAGGTGTATTGTTTTTATTAACAAATACAAGAACACAGTGGGAAGCGGTCAATAGTTCTGTAAATGATAAAATAACAGCTTACACCTGTATTTGAGAGATTAAAAATCTAGCAAGTTGCATAAGGCTTTTAGATAATTATATAGGAGTAATGAAGGCTGAATTTAAGTAACTCAAGTTGCAGTCTGTTTAACTGAATCACAGGCAGCTTATGTTTGAGCAGAAAGTCATTTGCAGTATGCGTGTTGCACATGGATTTCATCAAATTCATAATGCCCTTCTACATTGTGGGGGCAGTCAAAATGCTGGAAAGCAAAAATGTCTGTGGTATGGAGCTAAGTCTTATACATGAAATTTATGCGGTGAAGTGCAGAGAGATTTTAAGGTGATGAAGGCTTCAGGCAAATACAGTGAAATTCTGAATTTAGAACATCAAACAGGCTCTGACATATGAAACTCACTGGAAGACTTTTAGGTTGTGGCTTGTGTTTTCCTTGTAGCTTCATGCGCTGTTTTTTTTGCTAAGATGGTTCTTTCAATGTAAGTGTTCTGAGACTGATCATCTTTTATCCCTTTTCTTTTTAATTCAGTGTAGCTTCCCTATAGAACTTTTATTTATTCATTTGGGGAAAAATATATKAGCTTATCAAGAGTGAACTGGACAAAGCCTTTTTCCTTGTGGCATTTCAAAAACTTCAAGTAGTTGCAGGCATTCATTCTCCATTTTGACAATCTATTACTTAGCATGCCACTAACAACTTTATTGTTAATAAAAGAAAAAATAAAGGTATTTAATCACACTTATTGTTAAATATATTAATGATTGAATATTGAAATATTCTGCTTTTCTCTTGATAGACAAGTATGCTCATCTAAATAAATCCACCTGTGAATCGGCTTAAATACGGTCTGCAAAATCTGTAGCCAGACAGATTT